AACAAATTAAATTCATAAAGGATAGCATGCAAAAATTATCATGTAATAAAACATCATGCAATAATATAAAATTATCATGCAAACATTTATCATACAATACTATAAAATATCATCCAAACAGTTATCATGCAATAATATTAAATATCATACAAAAAATACAATAATATAAAATAAATCATACAAATAAATATATTAATGATCATGCAACTAAATTATTATCCATGCAAATAAATTATTAGTAATGCAAATTCATTCAAATAGTCAAACTCATGTAAAACATATATTAAAACATGCAATTAATTAAATTCATGCAAAAATAAATACCATTCAAAACTAAATTCATAAAACATCATGCAAATAAATTATAAAATCTTACCAATTTTTATATTCCTCATCACTTTTAAATTCAATCACATAATAATTAATAAAAATAAATAAAAACAAAAAATAAAAAAAAACTAAAATCAAAATCAAATTTGAAAAATCAAAAGAAAAGCAAAATAATACGATTCGGGTGGGGTTTTACTAGGTCAATGCGCGGAACCCATGCAGGTCAAAGCACAGGTCATAGGGAGCAAAAATGGCATTGTTCGTAGCCTGTGTAAAAGCCAAATTTTCTATTTTTTTAGATCCCGTTTGTTACTTCTCTCTCTTGCTTTTATTTCTCTCCATTCTCCCTAGAAATCCCTACCGTGAAAATCAAGCAAACCCAGAACCAACTAAATTTTGCAAAATTCAGCGTTGAAAGTGGCACCGAAAAGTTCAAGTTAAACCCAAATTTTTTCAGAATTTAAGCAAAAAAACCAGAAATTCAAACTAAAATTTCGATGAAACCAAAACTCAAAAATCAATCTCAGGAATTCAAAACAAAAACCAAATGCTAAAAATAAAAAATAATGATCAAATCAAAACCCAAAAAACCAAAATTCTCAAATTCCATAAACACAAGCAAGATTCCAAAAATCTTAAAAAAACCAGAAACTCACCCAGAAAATTTTAACAACTCTAATTATGTAATTGCTTTTGTATTGCTCGTTTGTCTTGCTTCGTTGTTCTTTGTTAATTCCCTTTATGATTACAGATTGGAAGTCCTTTTTATAGGGATAAATCCACTTTAATTTGGACAAATTTTAATGCTCACTGAATCTTCAAGATTTTTTTTCCTGTGATTTTCCTTTTTTCCATGGATTGAAGTTCAAGAATTTCTATAGGCATTATTAGTTAATAAATTCTAGAATTTGAGGTTGAACCATAATTGAATCCAAGATTTCCTCTTTTTACAAAATCTCACTTTTTTTTTTTGACTTTTTTGGGGTGCTTTTATGGCTTTTAACAAATTTTGACCAAAACAAGATTAAATCAAAAAAATTAAAAAATCCAAATCCAAATTAAAAATTAAAATCAAAATTAAAATTAAAACCAAAATTAAAATTAAAATTTTTGAGTTTTTAATCTTTAGAACCAAAATTCACTTTTTGTATTAAAGCCTAATTACACAATTAAATCAAAATTCAAAACGCAATGAATTTTGAAAAAATTTTCAGATAAAATGGGGTGTCTGCAGGACCTTACACAATACTGAATTATAATTTGTTAATTATACAATAATTTATAATTATAAGTGATATATTATCTTTTTCAACACCATTCTATTGGTGATGTGATAGGTTATTTTTAAGTGTAAAAATTATTAAAACAAAATATTTGTAAAACAAGTAGATAAGTGCTAATCAACCTTCCTTCTTTCTCACTCTTTAATTTTTTAATGTTATTTTGTTTTGTTTTATTTTTAAAAATGTTTTCTTTTAATCATTTAGATTGAAAAACATAATAGTTGTCCATAATATTAATTTTATGGAATTTGGAGGAATGTGAGGGTTTTTATGTAGCACTCCACCTTTCCTCCAAAATGTATATATATTTTATTTTTTTTAATTTTTTAATTTTTATTAGATAAATTTTATAAAAAAAAAAAGTTAATAGAGGTACGACGATAGAATAATCTATATCTAAAAAATTTTATTCATTTTAATCCAGTTGTTACATTTTTTTAAAAATCAAGATTGCATCAAGATCTTTACTTTGTCTAAAATTGAAGTCAAGTTGAAAACGGATTTAGGGTATTACGTACCATATCAAGTATATATAAAATATCTTTTTTATTATTTATTTAATTTTATATTTAAATATATGTATTATATTAATAAAAGTACTATTTAATATTTTAATTTAAGAAATCCACATAGTACCCCATTTGATTTGATTTTCTTTTATTTTTTCATTTATTTTTGTTTTGTTTTTTTTTAATTTTTAACTTTTTTAATTAGATAAATTTTGGAAGAAAAAAAATCAAAGGAGATAGGAATGACAAAACAAACCATATTTGATAGGTTTCGATTCTCATGGACCCAATGGATATCATTTTTTTTAATCCAATATTGGGATGAGATTTGTTTTGAAAACCAAGCTTGAGTCAAGGCGGATTTAGGATATTTTGTCTTGTCTTAGGTATATTACAAATATATTTGGTTATTTATTAAATTTTATATTTATATAAAGTTATTATTTGGTACTTTATTCAATAAAAAATTATACTTATACATAATTAAAATGTAATTTATATTAAAAATAATATTTTTATAAATATTACACTAAATTAAAATTATTGAATTAATTGTTGATCAATTCGAGTTGGATGCGGGTTATACATACATATATATATATATATATATATATATATATGACAAACTGAAATCAGGTGTCAATAAATAGAACTCAATGTTGAGTCAAAATCAAAATCAAGTTGAATTATTAAAGAGATTGGTCAGAGTCAGGGTGAACATAAATCTGTCTCTACATATTTCCATCCTTAAATTGATGTATCCATTAGTCATCCCCATTAATTTGGCTTTTTTTTTCCCTTTTTTCTTGGGTTGTTTCTTTTTCTTTTTCTTTTTCTTTTTCTTTTTTCAAGTTTTGGCCTTTTTATTTTTAATTATCTATTTTAATATTTTTTATCTATGTTTGAAAAAATAAATTAGCAATAGAAGTGTTTATGTGGCACCCCATGCATTTTGTTTTTTTTTTTTAGTTTTTCCTTTTAAAAAAATAAAATAAATTTGTAAATTAGTAGAAGTTTAGATGTCATAATAATACTTATTCGATTGGTTTTGATCTGTCGATCCAATAGGGATAATTTTTTTTTTAAATTGAAGTTGGGTCAAGATAGGATGATTTTTCCATTTTAAAGATCTAGGTCAAGTTGTAGGCAGTTTAAAGTGCTTTGTTCTATCCCATCACGGTGTATATATATAAGAATATATATTTTATTTAATTTTTATATATATTACATTAACAAAGTTATTATTTAATACATTTATTGAATAAAATATTATATTAATATATAACTAAGATGTAATTTATATTAAAAAATTATATTTCATAAATATTATACTATTAAATTGATTTTAGATAAAATCAGACTAAATACTATAAATATATATGTCAAGTCAAGATCAAGATCAAGTATAAATATATATATATATATATGATATCGAGTCAAAGTTGGGACAAATATAAACCCGTCTCTAGCCTACCCATTACCATCCTTAAATGGAGATATTCATGTGGTATCTCTATTTGGCTTTTTTTTAGTTTTTTTCCTTTTGCTTGGGTTTTTTTTTTTTTTAGTTTTGCTTTTTTAATAATTTATTTTAATATTTTAAACTATGTTTAGAAAAATAAATTTGAAAAAATGAGTTTATATTTGAATTTTTAAAAAGTTATGAGAATGAAATGTATATATTATTCATAGATTAATTAAAATATTTTCAATAGACGTTGTTTTTATTAAAAATTATAAAGGAATTTATACTCATTAATTTATCAAATTCAATATTATTGAATACAAATAAAGAAATTTTGGATCAACAGGTATGTTGCTAGTAGCAATAAAAAATTAATGACATATACTTGCCACATCACCAAATTAATCCACATCATCAATTCAATTTTGCTTGTTGATGGAGGTACCAAAGTTCACACTTAATGCATATAGAAACGTAATTTTGAAAGTAAACGAAGAGAGATCAAAATACACTTTTACAAAGAAAAAAAAAAGACTAAATTTATAATTTAACAGTCAAGTTAATGGTGTTTACTATTTACGCATAAGGATTTGTTTAATTGGTAAGGAAAGAGCTTCTTTTTCTTTTGTCAATTTTGGTTCAATCCCTATGAAGAATATTCCGAGAATGATTCTTAATTGTCGTTCCAAGCTTATGTAAAGGTGTGTGCCCTTGAAATTATTAAAAAGAAGATTAACTTCAAACAAAACTTGAAAGATACCCTTTGACTATATTACCCAAAAAATGGTGTCCATAATTTCTAATCTTTGTAAAAGAAGCATTAAGTTTGAATAATTTGATTAAAAGAATGAGATAAAAACCAACCCTCCATCAAATTAAATATCAAAAGCAGCTTACATGTGTCTATTAGGTTGATGGTAGTCATACATCAAGCTTCCATAACAAAGATACCAAGTTCAAAATATCCTCCTTTAATTCGAAAATAGAATTGTTATATGTAATTTGGTATTTATTCAATGGTGGTTAATTAGTTTGTGCAAAATTTCGTGTAAGAATACCATAATAATTATTACAATTCAATGCATTCAAGAATTTGGCTCCACGACAATGTTTAGTACCTGTAACTAATGCTTAAGGACTGAGTTAATCCCTCATTTCTTACATTAAAAAACTACAATTTAATATTCTTCAAATTTAATTCTTGAGAATGGTGCGATGGAAACATTTTATATGGCCAGAAACCAAACGGTTTCTATGCGTACCCAAAAATATATTTGGAGAAAATTCACTTAGAGCCTTTATACCATAATTATTGCATGGGTGAAAAAAAGTATGAGGAAAAAAAATATTTACTCTCTTTGACAAAATTGTGATAATTGCATAGAGTACTGATTTAAGGTGCAATTTTAACAGGTAATTTACCACCCATAACCATGGCGGGAAAACTTGAACGGCTTATACTGTGGGGAAATAATCTTAGCGGAAATATTCCCAACTTCATTTCCAACTTTTCCATGCTCAAGTCGCTTGCATTACAAAACAATTCTTTCTCTGGCCTTATACCGAATGATTTTGGCAACTTAAGACACCTTGAGTGGTTCCAAATTGGTTACAATAATTTGGTTACAGAACCTGTGGTTCACGAGTGGAGCTTTCTCTCTTCTTTGACAAATCATGAATTTGAAATCATTAGAGGTTTCAGGAAATCCATTGAATGGCATTCTTCCAACTTATATTGGGAATCTTTCAACATCTCTTCAATATTTTTATGCTAGTGATTGTGAGCTTAAAGGTAATATTCCATTCGAAGTTGGTAACTTAAGCAACATGCTGCTTTTAGACCTTAGTGTCAATAAATTGAGTGGATATATTCCACCAAAAATAGGAGGACTACGAAATATGCAAGGTTTGAGTCTTATGGATAATGGATTACAAGGGTCCATCCCAAAAAAAGTCTGTGGATTGGAGAGCTTATTTGTGTTGGAATTATCTTTTAATAAGCTCAATGGACCGGTACCCACATGTTTAGGCAATTTGACTTCTTTGAGATATCTTTATTTAAAATCCAATAAATTGAGTTCTGCAATACCCTCAGCTTTGTGGAGCCTTAAAGATATTTTAGAAATAGATTTGTCATCAAATTACCTTAGCAGTTTACATTCATTTGGTGTTGGAGATTTGAGGGCATTGGTGCATTTGAATTTGTCAAGGAATTTACTAATTAGTGATATCTCATCTACAATTGGGAGCATTGAAAGTTTGGTTTCTTTAGATTTCTCTAAAAACAAATTTCATGGTCATATCCCTGAATCATTTGGTGGCTTGATTAGTTTGGAATTTTTGGATTTAAGCAATAATAATCTCTCCGGAATCATTCCCAAGTCTTTGGAGAAGCTTTTGTATTTAAACTATCTTAATGTATCCTTCAATAGATTGGAAGGAGAAATTCCCAGTGGAGGATGTTTTCGAAACTTTTCTAATGAATCATTCATGAAAAATTATGCACTTTGTGGTCCTCCTAGATTCCTAGTCCCGCATTGCAAAAGTAGCATCCACAAAATTTCCAAGATGACCGTATCGCATTTTTTAAGGTATGGTTTACCAACAATTGCTACTTTACTGGTAATAATAGTCTTAACTGTTATGTACAGAAAATGCAAAAGTAGGAGTGCAACTCTACCACATAAGGAAGATTTATTATCTTTGGGAACATTGAGAAGAATTTCACATGCTGAACTTTCACTTGCAACTGACGGATTTGACGAATGCAATTTGCTTGGTTCAGGGAGTTTTGGATATGTATATAAAGGGAGGCTTTCAGATGGAATGAATGTTGCAATAAAAGTTTTTAATTTGCAAATAGAAGGAGCATTTAGGAGTTTTGACATTGAATGTGAAGCTATGCGTAATATACTCCATCGCAATCTTGTCAAGATCATTACTTGTTGCTCCAATGTTGACTTCAAAGCCTTGGTGCTTGATTTCATGTCTAATGGAAGTCTTGAGAAATGGTTACATTCTGAAAACCATTTTCTTGATATCTTACAAAGGATCAACATAATGGTAGATGTTGCATCAGCTTTAGAATATCTCCATGCTGGACATCCAACACCTATAATCCATTGTGACTTAAAGCCAAGTAATATCCTACTAGATGAAGATATGGTTGCACATGTGGGAGATTTTGGCATTGCCAAATTGTTGGGAGAAGGTGAATTAATGAAGCAAACCATGACTCTTGCGACTATTGGCTATATGGCACCAGGTGATATTTTAATTTTTTTATGGTTATTTTCCATTTTGACATTTTTTTCTTTTCCTTTAACGAGTATACATAGAGTTTGATAAGCATTTTAGAATTAATTAATGATTGATGATGTTTTCGATTATGTTTCAAATGCAGAATTTGGATCAACTGGAATTGTTTCTATTAAATGTGACATCTATAGTTATGGGATTCTCTTAATAGAAACTTTCACAAAAAAGAAGCCAACTGATGAAATTTTTAATGAAGTGATGACTATAAGACATTGGGTGAAAATGTCACTATCTAAGGGAATCATTGATATTGCGGATGTCGATTTATTAAGAAGAGAGGACAAGTATTTTATTGTTAAAGCAAATTGTATCTCATCTATCATGGAGTTAGCTTTGAATTGTTCATCTGAGTTACTTGAAGAAAGAAAAGATATGAAGGATGTTGTGGCTACACTCAAGAAAATCAAACAAAACTTTTTGAACAAAATTGAGCAGGTTTAATACGGTAATATATATTTACAAGTTATTGATTTATTCTTAATTTTGTATTTAATTCAACTTTTTAATTTATTGTGATGATGATTTGACTTGTTTTGTTATTAAGATTTGAAAAATCATAAAATACTTATAAACTATGAAAATAAATAAAAATTGCATGACACTCATTAACTCTTTTTAATTTGCTTACTCAATTTCTCTCATGCACTAGGCTCTCTCAGTTCAAAGTTTTATTGCAAAACCCAGCCTGAGACTCAGCAACCAGAACCGAGCAGCAGGCTTTTCATCAATCAATTCCAGTTTATGCTGGCAGCGGGATCAAATTATTTTCTTATATTGTTAGACTGATGTCTGTTTGAGTACTTTGGTTATGTCTTTTACTGTATAAGATGTTTTAATCTTTTGTTGATGATTTTAGCATGGCTGTACTTTGTATTGGACCTTTTTTTTTTGCTACAGAGATTAAATTTTAGTTGCTGAAACTAAAAATTTAGTACTCTATCAACAGATCATATGACTGTTGATATTTAGAATCTCCTTTGCTTCTCTCTAGTTAAATATGATATTTACTTTCATAAAAAAGGTTTTAAGGTATGCGTTTCAATTTCATTTATCTGTTAAAGATAGTTGTATCTTGTTTTGGGGATAAAAATTTGTGCACTGCCAAACTCCATTATGTAGCATAGCTGACAAGCCAAGGCGCCAAGTCAAGAACAAGGTATGGATCTTCACTCAATTTGGTTGTTAAAATTTAATAATCAGTTGAAGATTTGTAGAATTTTTATCCCTTTTAATTTGAGGTGTTTTCTAAAGTTTCAATATTCATAATTGTTTAATGCAGATAAGTCTAACATAGTGATCTTGAGCTAGACTACCTCATCGGGTGTCAGATATCTTCTCTTTCTCCTATGAAAACTCAAAGAAAATTATCTTTGTAGAAGGTGTCAGGGTATAATCAAATCTAATGTGATGTTGAGTTTGATTTTAATGAATTCTTATTAAGTTGGAAATTGGTTTGAGCAGCTATACTACTTTTTGAGGTCATTTGTGATTCAATTTGCATTTATTATTTTGCAAAAGAAGTTAGTTGTTTGCAGATGCTCATTTTATTAGATTTTTAAGGAAAATCCCCTGTTTTATGCCTCTAATGTTTTACAATAAGAAGAAGCTAACCAAACTTATTTCCTCACCATCTATGATCTAACGGTTCCAATAATTTTCTTAGGGCCTAATGGGACGGTTCAAGTAGTTTCTGAGTCCAACTGTTTTGTTGTTGGACATTTTTTGATTCCTTGGAGACTGAATGTGCAAGTTGTTGCCGAGAAAAGTAAAGCAGCTTGATTACAGGATTCTCAATCAGGTAAGTGTTTGATTTTTTTTTGGTCTTTATAAATCTGCTTTGATAGAAATGTATTAAAAAAATTTTTTTTTTATTTATGAGTCGAAAAAAGTAGATTTTTTTCATCCCCTTTTTCTTTGTTTTATTTAAGAATGTGAAGTGTGAACTCCATACTTACAAAGTGAACCACGGAAACGACCAGAAGATTCAAATGAACGATGACGTGGAGTTTTCGCTCGCGCGATTGAGATAGGCAATTGACTAAAGTGTAAACTCTATCGTTTAAAACACTATAAAGAGGATGTCGCACGATAAATGATCCGATGGTTGAGATTGAAATGATTTTTCGTGCGTGTTAATCGGACGGTTCAACAGCAAGTCAACTTCACACAACATATAAGGAATATATTTATTTGGGATTGTTAGTCTTTACTAATTTGGTTGGTAAATGAAAGAACATTTCATTTTGTTTCATTTCATTACAAACTTGAATTTCCAGGCTGGGTATTAAACCGCTAAAGCAAAGAAACAAAGCAGGATTATTCTGGGGAAATTTTGAATTTGTGAGCATTGGTTTTCATTCTTCAAGCTGTTGGTTTATAGAACTGTTGATAGTTTGATAGAATACCATTTTATTCTTCTTGAATTTACGATCACAATGGTTTAGCAGCCTAGATAATGCTTGGAGAGCAGTTCTTCTGTGGAAATGGAGGGTTCTGCATCTATAGAAAGTTCAATCTCTTTGTGCTTTTTTTTTTTGTTATTTTATTTTTGCAGTTTCCCTGTTTGGGTTTTTAGAGTTGACAAATCTTAATCTACAACATTAGATTTTCAATTTCTTCCTTAAATCTAAGATTTTATACGACTTCCATCACATTAGGTATAGTGTTTTATTCTGAATTATTCAATTGTGTACCGTCTAGATCAACAACAACTGTCAATCTGACAATCTAAATTCAACATCCAGGAAACATGGAGGATACATCATTAGAAGCTTCTGCGTCAATGCATGGTGGAATTAACCAGACTGATCAATCGAAATTTCAGCATTACACAAATGGGGGAATGGTACACTCTCAAGCAGACCAACACGAATTGATTCGAATAGAACCACCTGAAGTTTCAGAGCAACCAAGAGCAAGAAGATGTCGTCAGGTTAAACTAAGTGAATCTCAAAAAAAAGAAAGGAAAAGAAAGAGTGATGTGAAGTATCGGCTAAAGAAGAAGGTATTGAAAGCGAAATCTCTATCTTTCTTAATGCTTTCACTCATTTTTCCCAGTAATTAAATTTGTTGCTATGAGGGTAACGGTATATGATGCTATCTCCAAAGGGAAATATGGAGAATTTAAAAGATTATTATGACAAATTAAGTCTCCATTGTCCTGATTGGGCTGATACTGCATGTGAATTTTGGATGCATTTGAGTCTTCCCATGAGGATGACATTTCACAGAAACTTAGAACAATGACAAATTGAGACTCTATTGTTCCTGATGAAGTTGATATTTCAGAGAAACTTCAATTGGCATTTGGAACTATTTATATCTGATATTTTACACCAAGTAGTAGTAGCAGAAAAACATTTTTTTTTTTGTTTCCTACCTTTCTTAGGTCAAAGGGAAAAAGGTGACCGAACCAGTCATCAGAAATATATTCTACAGTGCTTTGCCAAAGTTTCAAATGACAAAAGGAAAAAAGAAAAAAAAAAGAAAACATACATATTTTTTATCTGCAAGTCTCTTCGTTGATGGTTTGATGCTGTGCAGAAGCTTTAATGGTCCAATGGTTGTTGCTTCAAGACCTTCATTGCTTTGACATCCTGAGCCTAAATTCTCAGGTCAGCACCACCCTTATGGATTAGGAGGGTTGCTGTCACCAGTAGGTTGTGAAGGGTTAGGGGCAGGATAGATTTATCAACCGACCAGTATTTTCAAAACTGATTTCCTAGAGTATGTAAAAGACATTTTTGCAGCAGTTATGAGTACATTCAGACAACTTTTAAATCTCCACGAATGTATTTGTCTCTTCATTGTTCTCTCTGTTGATGTTAGCTTATCTGTGCAGACAAAAGTAAATGAAATGACTGCCCAGAACAAATCCTCTCAAGAGGAAATTGGACGGTTGAGTACTGAGAACAGGCGCTTAAAAGAAGAAACAGGACGGTTGACTTCCGAGAACAGACACTTAGAAGAGAGTATCAGACAGCTGAAATCCAAGGAAAAGCTTCCACAACAAGTTCTATTACAGATAGAAGGCAGCAATATTTCCCAATCAACAAGCCAGGTTGATCATCAAAGTGTTCATGTCCAGGTATCAGGCATTGGCTTCAGTTCTATTATTTTAGGAACTGAAACCAAAGCAGAATTGATTTACACTCTTAAGTTCTCTTTGGTTCATAGTTTAACATCTTTTGCGAACTAATAAGCATTCATATCATGATATCTTTAATTTCATTTCTTAAACTTTAAATGAAATGACTGCCCAGAACAAATACTTGCAAGAGGAAATTGGACGGTTGAATACTGAGAACAGACAGTTAAAAGAGGAAACAACAAGGTTGACTACCGAGAACAGACACTTAGGAGAGCAAATTAGACAGCTGCAATCCAAGGGGAAACATCCAGCAGAAGTTCTACCACAGAGACAAGACAGTTACATTTCCCAATTAATCATCCAACTTAATCGTGAAACTAACCAGGTATATCAAGTGTTGGCTTCTGAAGTACTTAGCATGCAAAGATAATTGAATTGAACTTGATTTAATAAAAAATTGCCTTGAAAAACCTTTGAAATGACTCTGGACAAAATGAGGTGTGTACAACTCGTACATTCTCAGTTCTATTATTTTAGGGACTGAATCAGAACAGATTTTCACTCTTCAGTTATCTTTTTGCTGCATATTGTATTATCTTTGGGAAACTAATAACCATTACTATCAAGATTTATCTAATTTCGTTTGCTGCAATTTTTTGGGTCAGATCCTTGAAAGAATACATATCACCACCCAGCATTATATGAATATTGAGGCTGAGAACTCTGTGCTGAGAGCTCAAGTTATGGAACTTTCGCAAAGACTGCAGTCTTTGAATGAGATCATCATTTTCTTAAATGAAAGCAACAATGATGCTTCTGATGCTGAGTATACAAGCCTTGCTTTCATTGAGCTTGCTGAGTCCGAGTATGACAGCTTCCTGAACCCCCCATTGAATTTTCTCCAGAAGCCAATTTTAGCCTCTGCATGTATGTTTCAGTATTGATCTCCAGGAACTTACTGGAATTTGTTCTCAATTCTTATGAGTCTCAAGCTAGGACGAAAATGAAGACATTGTTTTAGTATGTTATTATTTATTTAATAATGGATTTGTTTTTTTTTTATTTTATTTTATTTCTATCTATGCCAAAATAATTTATTAATAAAGAAACAAAGAGGCTACAAAGATCCAGCAGCTTGGTTAGTAAAAACAAAGAACAAATTAAAGAACTTTAGAATAACAATATCAAACAAATTTAAATTGAAAGTCACAGGCGGCAATAAAACTATAGTTATCTGCGATTGGCGATTGTAGAGCAAATTACAACCCCATGGCACGTAAGTTTGCTCCAACCTCCTAATTAGCTAGGATGTAGTTCTTGAAAATTATTTATAATTCAGCATAAATTATCAATAAGTCTTAAACTTAAAACCGTTTGCAGGTAGAAGTTAATTGAGTTGATAAAATTTAAATATCTCATATATAAGATTTAAATTTGAATTTTATTATCAATAATTTTTTATAAATAATTTATAAATTCAATATAAAATTGTTTTTTTCTGAATTTTGTGATCTGTACTCATTTTGAAATAGAAACTTATCCTGACCTTAAACTTTTTCCACACCAATTAAAAAAACGTGACAAAAAAATCACCCAATTAATATATTAGCAGTTTTTGATATGATTCTAGATGGCTTAATACATTGATATTTCAAACGAAAAATATATAGGTTGTGGTGGAGATTGGAGAATTGACCCTTTTTTTTTTTTTCTTTTTTAAGACAGTCGAACGACAACTTGTGCTTTTCGCGCGACATATAAATAGACGGCAGTCGCATTTTAACACATGTCATGATCTGACAGTTCCAAATGATTTTCTTGCGTCGTCATCGAACGGTTCAGAAACAGGCCTTACTCACTATAACATCTTATAATCAGTTTTTATCTAGGAAGTCTTTTGATTCATTAAAAAACCAGGAAGTTTCCGGGTTTGAAGTGAACCAACAACGTAAAAATAAAAAAAAATGCAAAAGCAAGATTCTGGGTAGCCATGTTTGGTACAACACATCAAATTGGTAAGCATAGATTTTCCTTCTTTTTGTTAGTTATTTGATACTTTATAGAATTAGAATTTTGTTATGATTCACTTCCCAAAATTAGAATCAGTTTATTTTCTTTCTTTTGTTGTCTGATCTTGGTTTTCTTCAATGGAAGATGATTCTTTTGTTTCCCTTTTTTTTTTTGGAGTTGACTCACTTCCTGTTTGATCTGTTGTTTTTCTCTTTTTAGTTTAGCTAGCAATATTCAGATAATCTGACATGACAACACCATTAGCTGCTTGTCTTGAATGAATCAAGCAGCCAAGTGAAACTGAAATGTTCAGCTCTTAATTTGTGTTGTAATTTGTAAATTATCAGTTTTTTTGCTAATTTTTACCATTTTGGGTTACTAGTACATTAATTCGAGTATCTAGAATCTAGATAATGCTTGCAGTCGATTAATCTGCAGCGCCTATACCAGATTCTTCGTTGATAGTTCTTGGTGGGAGGCCTATTCTTTTTTTTTCCCCCATAATTATCCCCTCTCACTTTCTTCCCATCCAATCATTGGTAAACGGTTTCTCTTTATATTCTTCGAATAATATTTGATATGATTTTGAACCCCGGTAAGTTGAGTGGTGTTGATGGTGTTTTTGGGATGTCTTAGCTGTGAGGAGGAAGGTGAGGTGGAGAGGGAAGACAACGGTGACCTGCAGCCAGAAAATATGGTCAGGGGGGCGCCGGAGTTGTTACTCCTGGGTGTGCTCCGACACCTAAGTCAGTATGGTACCCTAGGTAAGATTGGGAAGTAGGAAGGTGAAGTGTGTGTGGGAAGTGTCTATGGAGAGGAAAGAGTTCAGAGAGTTGGGTATAATCCGTGTTACTTTGCGAGTATCTAGTCTTTTACCTACCTCTTGCTTGAGATCAAGGGTGACGGCCTGACTGAGACGGTTGACAGTCGATGGAATGACTGTGTGGAGCTTGAGAAGAGTCCATGGGAATGGATGAGAATTGCATTTACTGATCCCAGGCAAACATGTACCGCATTTAATGATCTCAGTCCCGTTAGGTGTTGATAGGTCATTTCTGATGTGGTTGACTTGATAAGTTACTGGTGGGACATTGCGGAGTCCTTTAGTGGATGGTGAGCTGTCCTTTAGAGTGGATGACGTGACCTTTAGGTGTGTTTTGCCTGAGGACCCAGCCATGCTGACCAAGCGTTGACTGTTGACAGGTTAACTTTAGGCATAACAAGTGGAATGTCTTCCTTATCATCTGTTTTTTGATTCATAACCTGCAGTTTATTCACATCTGTGTTGTTAATATTATTGTTATATCATTGAATTCTCCAGATCAACTAGATTCTGTCAATCTACACAGATAAATTTGACATCTGGGAATATGGAGGATACTACATCTGAAGCTTCGAGTCCCTTTTTAACCTCGCAGATGGCATGTGTTACAATGTATGACCAATTTAACCATTCTGATGCATGGAACTTTCGGCAGCATACAAATGGTGTAATTTTGCATTCTCAAGCAAACCAATACCAATTGATTCAAGGGGAACCATCTGAAGCTTCGGATCTACCAAGAGCAAGAGGCTGCAGGGCTAAACTGAATGAGTCTCAGAAAAAGGAACATAAAAGACAGAGTGATATAAAGTATCGGCAAAACCAGAAGGTAATTAAATAGAAATGTCTTTCTCATTTTTTTTACTCATTTTTCCTGGTAAAGTTGTTTTTCTATGAGGTTAATGTGATCTCCACGTGAAAATATGGGGGAACTTAAATGATTATGATGTATCAAGGCTTTATTGCCCTGATGAAGCTGATACTGCATGTAAATTTCTTGAGGCATTTGTAAGTCTCCGGATGAGGATGACAATTCACAGAAACTTAGAGATTGTCCTTGCTGAAGATCATATTGTGGAGAAACTTCAATAAGCATTTGTAAGTCCCTTTATCTGATATTGCACAGAAACTTCAAAATTTATTTGTAAAGTCTCTTTTATTCTTTTTCATTGAACCAAAATCATTTCCAAAATGCTCCGATACTAGAAAACATGGTAAGAAGAAAGATCACAAATGATAACTAATGTTTTTATGCCATACATATCCTTATGTTATTTTTATTAGCTATCTAGCTTTAAATCCAATATTTGACATCATTGTTTGAAGCCCTAGATCTCCATCATAGAAAACATTTTTTATGTATTCGGTCATTTACTCTTGCTTGGCATGGTTTATGAGAAGGAAGATAGTAAATATATGGGAAAGTTAAATGGGACTTGTCACAATTTCATCAGATTCACATGAGGAGAAGCAAATTCTGATCATTTGGTGATTGTGATGGGAATATTTGATTCTTCAGAAGATAGGGATGCTGCTGGATATTCTTGATTCTTTGTGACACGTGAATCTGATAACATGTGACAAGTCTTTTGTAACTTATATGCACTCAACTATCTTGTTCCTGGTTAATTGTAATATAATAGTTCACTTCAAATAGTATAGTGGCTACAAAAGGCATTTGTTTCCTAGCTTCTTTCACCCCTCGAAAGTGACTAGAACAGTTATCATAATTTTATATCATCCATCTTTGTGTACAAATATAGTGAAATAAAAAATACATATCTATGGTATCTATAAGTCTCTTAAGTCTTGTTGGTGGTGTTGCAGGTACACAGAAACTCCAAGGGACTTTTTAATGCCTTATGCAATGCTAGAGCCAAAAGGAGATGAAAAAAATTGAGTTATTTAATGGTTCAATTGTTATTGCTCGAATGCTTGATTTCTTTGAAGTCCTGAGGTCAAATCCTGAGGCCATCAACCTCCTCAAGGAAGGTTGCTGTAATCACTATCAGTAGGTTGCAGAAGGTTCAGGATGGGCTAGAATATCAACTGTACTATAAAAATTGATTCTTGCAAGAGATAAAAATAATTTTGGATAATGGTATTCCTGGCATGTATTTGGCTATCCACCTGTATCTTTCCTTAGATGATGTCAGTTTTCTCTTGTGCAGATAAAAGTAAATGAACTGACCGCTGAGAACAAACGCTTGCAAGAGGAAAATAGGCAGTTGAGTACTGAGAATAGACACTTAAAAGAGGAAAATGGGCAGTTGAGTACTGAGAATAAACACTTAAAAGACGAAAATGGAAGCTTGAAAGTTGACAACAGACACTTAGAAGAGTGTATCAGAGGACTAAAATCCAAGGGGAAACTTCCAGCAGAAGATACGCAGAGACTAGACAGTTATATTTCCCAATCAATCAGCCAGCTTGATCATCAAAGTGTTTATGTCCAGGTGGCAAGTGTTGGCTTCCAAAGTAGTTTAGTACACAATTATTTAGGAACTCATTTCCTTAGTTCTCTTTGGTGCATTGTCTTAATATCTTTGGCGAAAGAACAATCATTGATATCAAGATTTTCCCCATAAAATTAGTTAGTACCATTCTTGTCAAAATTGACATCATATATATTGTCATAGGTTGGCAGATATCTTCCTTCTTATTGCTGGTAATATCAAGCAAATATTGTTAACTTGGGAACACAGAAATATCATGAATATGTTTTCTTTTTCCTTCTCTGATGCACTTTTCATGTTTCCTTTTTCCTTCTCTGATTCACTTATTCTGATTCCTATCTGTTGTTTAATTCCACCATCTCCAAGAATCGTTTTGGAGTAAAATTTGTTGTTTGATTTCTTAAACAAATTGTGTTATCTGTTATGTGATAATTAAGACCTATCAACTTATCAATTACTCATCTCTCACATAATCTTTTTCTTAACTTGCAGGACCACCATGGAGTGGACTCTAATAATGAAGAAGCTGTTTACATGGTAGGGTTAAGTTGTAAATCCTTATTATCACATTTGGTTTTAGGTATCTACAAAGTTACCTCTAATCTTACATATCTTTTTATCTCTTAACTAGCAGGAGCAGGACCAGCGTAGGATGGACTCTGATATTGAAGGAGCTGTAGACGGGGTATGATAATAGTTTCAGTTTCTTTAAATACATTCAGTTTTAAATGTGTTGAAAAATTACCATAGCAGTAACCTTACATGTTTGGAAATCTTTCAGGACTTTTGTAAATGAAAGTGTCTTTGGTCCAAAAGTTAAAGAATTGTATCTTTTTTTTTTTTTGGTGGGTTTACGATTTTAACTTGATAGAAATGAAGCTTATTGTAGTTTGGGATATCTTAAAATTGCATGTTATTCAATAATGACTGGTGCTTGGAGATTTAAGATAGCTTGTTATTTTTCCTATTCCCTGAGAACAGGATGCCTAAAGTTTAGCTTCAATATCTCAATCTAAACGCACCATTTCTTTAAAGTTCTAATTCCTGAAGCATGATATGTTTTCTAACTTCTTGTTTCAGGCTGATGGTTTGGAAATAAATGACCTGCGAAATCTGTTGTTACCTGAGAATGAAACGAATCAAAATGGAAGAGTTGCTATCCACGAGTCTGCTTCAGAAAATGCAGAGAGTTCTCTAAGTTGCATGCACCATGCTGATATGGCTATGAAAAAATTCCTTATGAAACTTGATGAAGAAGTTTTAAGCAATGTAGACTTCTCAGACTTCACAGGCTTAGACGGGGAGCAGACAACAGTTGGGAGATACAGTTTCCCATTATCTCTAATTCCTACGGTTGAGAGAATCAATGATGTATGTGGCGATGTTTCTGCAAAAAGTCTAATAAATCCCAGTGCTGCCACGACAATCTATATTCTGTTCTGTGCTACCATTAAAGAGATGGATGATCTACAACTTGAGCAAGTTACTGAGAAGAAAATGTTGAGGTGGAGGGATGCAATCAAGGATGCACTACGCATTAATTTCAATGTGAGATTTGCGATGGAACATTTGAAGAAAGTTGCGTGTGCTTACTTTGGTCTAATAGGATGCATACTACTCCAGAGCATAGATGCAAGGATCTCACAATTAGAGGCTGAGGTGAATGATTGGAAGACGAAACGTGCTGACATATGTGAAGGATCTAAGTTGTGTATAGCTGCTGCCGAGGAGTTCATTGGAGTGCCTGTCAGCACAGGTCTATTTCCTTAGTCCTCTTGCAACAGATTTATTCATATTTGACATTCCTATACCTTTCTGACACTTACACTTATGAAACAGATAAAGCATCTCACTTGGTATCTTGTTCCACCAAATTATTGACAGTCTTTTGTATTTAATTCTTATTTGCTAAAAATATAAATAATAACACATCATTTTTTTCCACCATCTCCATCAAAATATATCCATTAATAGCACAGAACCACCACCGATCACCATCACTGTCATTTATATCTGTTTCATAACACTCCATGTCTCCAATGAACTCCACCAAAGGCTTTCTTTATCAGCTATTTATGCCCAAACTGTTACCTAAACAATGTTGTTGGTTGGCTCAAACAGACAAAGACGCAGACAGCCAAAAGGAAAAAACAATTGTTCCTCAAAGATTGAGAGAAGATCTACCACATAGTTTTGGAGTACTTCAATTGGAGAAAAAAAAATCATTGTATAGTTTCTTTTTATTTGTAATAGAATTTTTTTTTGTTCTTATTTGATTTATTCTACTTGTTTTTATCGCCACCTGCATAAGCTTTGTAAATACTAATTACTTGTATATTAGCAGCTTTTGGAAAACTGTTTGATGGTGATTGTTTTGATCTATTGATTGGTTATCTTAATTGATTTTTTTTCAATATTGAGACCCTGTTAATTACTAATATGACTTCAATTACTAAATCCTAACTCATATTAAAGAGATTGTTAGCTTGATATTAATAGGATTGATTTACAATAGACCATGCTAACAGAAACTTCTGCATAAATTGTTGCTTAGATGATTCTATTTTTTATTTATGATTCTTTTGACTAGTACAATATTGATGTGGCAACATTCTGCATTTCTTTGATAAACAAAATTTTTATTACTAAAAAGCAAAATTGAAAAAAAAAAAAAAAGGAAAAAAATATAATTGAGTTACTATATGAATATCACAGTTGTGCTTAATATATTTTTTTAAATTAATATATTAAATAATAATTTTATTAATAAAAAACAAATAAAAAAAACAGAAATCATTGAGGTGACATTTAAATTGAGTTTAAAACGATAATATCTTAAATTAAAGTATAAAATAATAATTTTATTAATATAATATATAAATATAAAATTAAATAAATAATAAAATATATACTTTTACATATATCACAAAGTGACTTGAAAAAAAAAATCTTAAATCCGTTTATAAATCTATGCTTTTTATAAAAAATTTTATTTGATTTGATTTAATATCATTTTTTTTCAAAAATAATATACTAAAAAAATGAGAGGGAAAGAAGTCTGAATTTATAGTTTGTAAAGTTTGATTTGATTGACTTTTCGCTAAATGTTCAATTTAAAATTTAATATTTGAATTAGTTCTCAATTAAAAAATAATATTTAATTTAATCCAAATTAGGATCATATGTTTTTAAATTTGATCAAATAAGAAATTTTAACGAAAGATAAAAAAATGGCCAAAGAAGTATTATAGTTGACAAATATTTTAATTTTTAAAAATAAAAAAAAAAAAGAAAAATCCAACGTGTTACTTTGTTTTTGTTTGATAAAAATACATAATAATTTTGCGCAATGAATTGATAATAAAATATTTTCTTTTCATTAAAGCATCTCAACTTTAATTCATTTTTCATTTCTCTTAATTGAGTAAATGTTTCTAATTTAATTAATTTCTTCTTATATTCATACATCTTGTTTTCTCTAATTGAATGGTTATTTAGAATTTAAAGTTTATTAGAACTCTGTGAAAAATAGATTAAGTATGAGTGATAAAAGATTGAGTTCTACCTAATCTATTTTCACGTTCCACAAAATCCGGATTTAACTAGCAACTAGATCAAATATTTTTTACTACAAGGTTCATTTACTTATAGTATAATTTTACTTTTTACTTTTACTTTTTAGTTGGTTAATCTGTTCATTATATTTATTTGAAAGAAGTGATTGACTAGTGAGGAAAAATTATTATAACTAAGTTCTTAAGCATATTTCTCTTCAAACATATATCGATGAAATTTAGAGATTTTAACTTGTAGATTTTTTTTTTCAACTTTCAAATCTTGTTATAGTCAATATCAATTAAACATGTAATCAATCCAGCTTTCAAGTTCTGAAATTATAAAGGATCCAACACCAATAGTTTCACATCATTTTTAATTTCAAAGACAAAAAAAATATTCATGTCAAATTAAGTAAATCAATTAAAATTATTGAAAATTTGAAACAATTATCAAACTAATAACTTTTCAGATAAATGAATAATATTGTATGTATAAATTATTATTTTTACATGAACAATATTAAATTCACTACCTCGATCTATCTTCAAAAAAATATATATCTTTAAAGTAGAAAAAAGAACCATGAACTATAAAAAAAAATAAAATAAAATTGCTACCATCGTATAGAACTTATTACTCAATTTAATGGTCAAGATTGAACCTTAAATATCACACCACCTAACATTTCCTAGCCTAATTTTTCAATGGCTAAGATTAAATTTTTGTCAATTTTCAACAAATTTTCACCTTGATCAAATAAAACTATATACATACTTTCATATTTTTTGTATAAAAATTTATACTTATGTTTTATTTATAGTAATAATTCTCAAAACAGAGAATCAAGTAGTTCATCATAAAAAATAAAATTAATAAATTCTAAGAAGAATTATCACTTCAACACAGGGATGCACTCTCAACCAACAAACCACCATCTGTACAATTAAGCACATCAGATTCAGATTGGGATTGATGAAATAACTTTATGTGATTTTCAAGTTATGGATGGTGCAATCTCAACAAACCAGCCAATCTCAATTGAATGAAGCATATCAAGGTCAGAATGATCCAATTAAACTCTCCACAATCTACAAATGGTGAAGTGATTCTCAACAATATCAATTGAATCAAGTGGTTAGAGTCAGATTGATCAATTGAACTCCTTCCAATATACTTCCTTTATCCCATATTTTTGTTTTGTTTTGTTTTTTTTAATGTCCCAAAACTATGTCTTTTTTTTTAACCACCTAAAACTCTTACTTTTTTATATTTTAAAATTATTTTTCATGAATTTTTTTTACTTGTTTACATTAAAAATCATAAAAAAACAATTTTAATTTTATAAAACATCTATAACTTTAATTTTATAAAAAAATTTTAAATTTTAATATTAAATACAGTAAAGGAAAATTTTTCTCATAAATCTTGCGAAAGTTAGAAACTCAAAAATAATTTGGAACAGAAGGGAGTACAAGTACAATGATGCGTTCTCTACAAACAAACCAACCTCTTAATGCTACATGTTAAAGTTAAACTGATCAATCAAACTCTTTGCAATCCACTAATTGAGTGAGGCATTTTCAATAACCTCAATTGAATTAAACACATTTAGACTAATCAAGTGAACTCCCCATAATGTACAAGTGGTAGAATGTGCATTTTGAAGAAACAAGCAACCTCAATTGAGAAGAACCATCTCAACATTTACAACAAACAAAATCTAGAAATGACAAAACAATTAGCAAAGCTGAAAAACTAAAGAGAAAAGCTCATTATAAGAATTATTAAACAGAGGGAGGGGAAAAAAAGGTAAAGAAATATATGAAAATAGTAACATGAAAGTAAAATTTAAATATCTAATAAATTAATACATTTTGATACTTAAATTTTAAATATCAAATGGATAATTTGATTATAATTATGTTAAATGCTCATTTAATCTTGATTTTCAAGCTCATTTAATCCATTAAAAGTAAATTGCTTAGATGGGAAATTGTGAGATGAGCAAATTTTTTTTCTTCTTCTTTTTCCAAATTAATAAAAATTTAATTATTTATTTTATTTATAAAAATTTAATTATGCATCATAATTTCATTTTTTCATAAACTCTGTAACTGTTTATTTTATTTTTATATTTTCATCTTTATTTATTATGATTGTTTGAAAAATAATCTTTTATATTGGAGGAATTTTTTTAGAGCCTTCCAAATTATTCTAGGCAAAAAAAGAAAAAAAATTATTCCTCACATTAAAGATATTTCTTAAAAAATATTATTACACATTTTCATGAAATTTTCAACATCGGGGACTTTCCAAACATATTTTTATATGTTAATTTATTTACCAAATAATCTAACCAATATCATATATTTTTAATGTCAAATTGCTATGCAAAAAAGGAAAAAAAATTATATTAATAAAGTTAGATTGCATCTAAAAAGGTTTGAATTATATTTTTTATGTTTGTAGAATTTGTGTTCAAGAATGAAATGTGCATTAACCTTTCATTCCAAGCTGGTCAATCATTGGTTGTTTCAGTACTTTGTTTGTAATAAAAAATTAATGAAACGATCGTATATATTTATACAATTTAACAAATATATTAAACTTAAATTACATTAAATATTAAATAAATTCATTCACAATTAATTGAATTCATGAATATCATAAATTCATGAATAATTAAGTTTTTAAATAATTAGATTCATTCAATTTGAATTTGATTTATAATTAATAAATATTTCTAAATTGTTTGGGTGATATTAACTTTCATATAGTTTTAAAAAAAAATTAATTTTAATGCATTTAATATTAAAATTAATTTTTTTTATAAAATTAAAGTTTCATGACTCACCAAATGCCATCACATCATTTTCAAACCATTTAAATGCTTACATTCATCAATCATGACCCCTTAAAAGATATAAACATTTACTTTCACTTAATAATATTATGATAAAAAAGGGTGATAATTTTTTCTAAGATAATGAATAATGAAACAATCAATTTTGAAACTAAAATTTGGATTTTCTAGAAGATCAGGCAAACATGGTATTTTTTTCTTAAGAATTTGGATGTGAATAAAAAAAAAAATTTTTTTAAATTGAAGCCACCTAAACCTTTTTAAATGATCATAAACATACCAGCTTTCTAGTTTTCCGTAAATTTGTCCTTATCTAGATCCTTGGAGCACATTAGCCAAAAAGAAAAATTTTATTGTCCTTAAGACAACCTGAATTGTGATCAACTTTATAGTGGAGTAATATGGATTTTTTGACACCTTAAATAAGTTTACTCCACGTGATTATTTTTCTCACATTAACCTTTATCATGGGTAATTTGTCAAAACATGATATTTTTCTTGAATGATAGTTGGGGGCATGCAAAAAAAAAAAAAAAGAGAGGAAAAAGTAAAAAAAAAAAAAGAGAAAGAAAATAAAATAAAGAAAGAGAAAAAAGAAAGAAAAATTTTGGTTATGGCATCATGTATAGGGATGTAATCAAGCCGAGTCGAGTCGAATAGTGAGAAGCTCGAGCTCGACTCATAACTCGGGGTTCGATACTCGGTTCAAGCTCGATCGAGTTTTATTTTTCAAACTCGAGCTCAATTCGTGATCGAATTAGAGTTATTCGAGCTCGCTCGATTAAACTCGATTAACATGTAAAAATAAGCTCGATTCGTATACTTGACAAGAGTTCGATTATTTATGCTCGAACTCGAAATATTTTATTAATTAAAATAATAAAAATATATTTAAATATAAAAGCTCGATTAGGCTCGCAAGCTACTCGAGTCGGATATAAG